CATATCCTCCCCATCTTGGTCCACAAACTGCCTGTGTGAGCAAGGGATAAGAAAGACCAAACCTGCAGCAAGAATGGGCAATTGTATTTTGCCATGTTTTAGGTTGCAGCTCCCAGCCCTAGCAAATGCAGCCAATGATGAGGGAGCTGCAGTCCAAGAACTTCTGGAGGGCCATATTTTCTCTCCATGCCCTTGTGCAGACTTCCCTCAGTTGATGGTCTCCACAAGTTTTGAGATACTCCTCTCAGCCCCAGCCTGCATGGCAAATGGTTAAGGTGGCAGCTGCACCCCCATACATCTGAAGGGCACAACATGAGGAAGATTGCCATAGAGATTCACAGATATGGAATCAACCATTACCTGTGTGTTTCTTCAAACATATCCTCACTCCATTTTAAGATTCTGAACAAGCAGACTCCATGGCACCGTGAAGAGATTCTGAACTCTCGAAAGCTTGCCCACAATTTTATGCTGTTTTGTTGATCTTCATGAAGATGTTGAATGACTGTGCATTTTGAAAAATAGTTGCCACAAATGAGATGCCTCGTGGCATCTCATTGAAAGGAATGCAACATAGGGATACTGTATTATTATTCTGGCATATGTTCCAGATGTGTGTCAACCTCCTTTTACGCAGCATTCGTTAATTTTAAATCGGCATTTGACTTCATACCTAGAATGTGGCTCTGGGATAAACTGAAAGTCCTCTATAGATATTTTTTAATTAGATTTATACCCTGCCCATCTAGACCAAAGGTAGATAGAAGACTTCTGTGTCTTATAAGGTCCTTATATGAAGAAACTTAAGAGTTAGATGCAGTAGACAAGGACATCTTACAGAACCCATCAAACCTATAGAGGAGTCACGCAAGGCTATCCACTAGCCCCAGCTTTATTTACTTTTTAGATAAATAACTTACCTGGCTGGTTCAATAACCCCGACCTTCACCCTCCCAGACTTGTTAATAGACCAATATCAACATTACTGTACACCGATGACACAATGATCCTTTCTAGAACTCCTGTCAGTCTAAGGAGGGCTTTGCAGAAACTCTCTTTATACTGTGAAACTGAGTTTCTAACAATAAACTATCAGAAAACCAAGAAAGCTGCCTTTGGGCACAAAGCAAAGACAAGGGTTTGATCAATTAAGGGTCACCGTATTGAGCAATTTAATAACTTCAAATACTTAGGGATAATTCTACAAGTCATGAGCTCAAGGGTTCAACATAGGAAGTATACGGCTGATCAAGGAGAAAGGACCAAAATTAGTATGGCAAAGTTTCACTGCTTTCAGGGTGGGTTTTTTGTTCCTGGAGCACTTAAACTCTATAAGGCTAAGATGCTTGCAGGCTCAAGGGTTCAACATAGTAAGTATCAAGGAGAAAGGACCAAATCAAGGAGAAAGGACCAAAATTATTATGGCAAAGTTTCACCGCTTTCAGGGTGGCTTTTTTGTTCCTGAAGCACTTATACTCTATAAGGCTAAGATGCTTGCACAATTGCTATATGGTTCATGTTTGGGGTCACCTAGTTCACATTTTGTACCACATCATCATATATCAAATATATATACATACACATATACAAATATGTGTCAGATTTATGTCTCTGGTTCCCAGTCTAGCAAGCGATGTACACATGAGCTAGTTCATACATGAGCTACACATGAACATGCAGTTCTCCACTGCTAAATTAAGAACAGCATATAAAATGTCAGAGTGGTTGTAAAATTGAGGGCCAAATTTAAAATAGTTCAACTATCATAGCTACCCATGATACCATAAATAAAAAGCATGAATTTCATATTCATGCTATCCTCAAACTATTGTAATTTATCTCAGACCGTAGTCTTACATGGGAAATATATATCAAACCTATAGTAAGAAACAAAAACATGCTTCTGGAGAGCCCATAATACAAAAACCCCTGAATTTACTTGTTAAGGAAGCAAATACTTCTTTGTCTATTGTATTTTTGATTGCACATGAATTTTCAAAGGCAGCACAATTATACTCTAATTGCTAGCTATTACAAGACCGTGGGCTGAAATATGAGTGAATTAAGCTTCTAAAAACTACATTTGTGGTTGTCTAACACCATAGCAACAGAACATAAAATAACAAAACAATATATAGTATATTTACGCAAGTTCTTTCCTCCCTTTCTTCCTCACAGTTCAGAGCAGATTTCACAAATGGAGAAGTAAACTTCTGTGATTCTCTCTGCAGCTGCCTGCTAACACTGGTTAAATTCTCACAGAGTACAATTGAACCAGATGCACTTTTGGTGTTCAAACCAATCAGTTTACCTTTTCCCTTCAACCCACCATCCACCATATCACATCCCCAGCTCATCTTCAACGTTGTTTGAACTTTATGAGTGCTTAAATGAAGACTTGCAAAATGTGAATGGAACGTATACATTAAAAACCCAAGCAATTCCAAACATTTTTAATGCAACCACACTACTGCTTCTTGTTGTGGTACTAGTAGTCTTATGCTATGTTGGAAAATCACAAAAAGGTCCTTCAAGAACTGCCGTCAGCATCTAGCAATTATGAAGCTATCTTTTTAAGGCCTTTGGACCAAATCATATCTTGTAGGTAGCCCACCATTAGAACCAAAATCATGTTAATTTTCCAGGAACAAGATTCAGGAAGACTTTGGAATCAGAAAAATCAGACTTGTAAACAATGAATGTGTTTGTCTCCTGGAGATCAATCATTAAAACAAATCAAACTCAGGAACACAGGAACTAGAGAAGACAAGAAAGGTTCTGGTGATGGTCACAAACAACGACCACTTCAGAAATTCTGTCTTTTAATGATGAGTGAACCAGTAATATATTGTTTTGCTTTCAGTTGATGGTCGTCATTTCTTGAAGCAGCTGCCTTCTTTGTGGCAAAGTATACCAGCCAGTGCTTCCTGCAGTGGGCTAGCCAAACCCCAGCCAGTTCCTGCTATGCTTTTCATGACATTGACCAGCATTGATTCCACTTTGTTGGATGTGACCTACATTGCCCTGACATGACCCAAAATAATAAGTGAGTGTCCATGTTGCAGTCTGGTTCTGATGGGTCTTGTGCCAATCCAAGATACTAAATGATTATTTGCGGCCATTCTTAATGCTTACAATTGGTAGCAGATAAAGAACGCTCACTTCAGTTGCCTTCACAGTAGGACTGATAACATAGAAGTGGGTTTTTTATTGCAAAACCCCAAAATGCCTAGGGGTTCTTGGGCCACCATTTTGGGCAAGGTACTCCTTCAATTTTTAGAGTTTATTTCAAAATTACTTTATCTTGGGGAGGGGAAGCCATAACCCTGCAGATGCTGTGGAACTAGGTTGTTCCAAATCCCTGATATTGCCTATATGTTCTAGAGCTGACATCCAGCAATATCTCAAAAAAGCCCATACAACTAGAGATGGGTATGAATTAGAAAAATTGTGATTCATTTTGATTCATGATTCATCAAGGTTGACAAATCACAAAGGATGAAACCCTATAAAATGGCCCCAACAAACCTAGAGACACTAAATTTACAGGGAAGCTTCTACTGACTCTCCACTACACTCCTTCCAAGTTTGTTGAAGATTGGGTTTCAGACATCCAAGGTATACACACACAAAGTGCCCCCCACAGGAAAGCACCCTTTAGCAGCTGGCTTGGGGAAACCCAATCTTCATCAAACCTGGAGGGATTGTAGAGGAGAATCAGGGGAATCTTCTCTGCAATTTTGATGACTCTAGGTACTTGGGTGGCATTTTATAGCCCAATCAATTGAAAAATCCAAAATTGCTAAAATTCATTGATTCGTATTCATTGGGCATTGGTTTGCACAAACACAGATCAATGTATTAGTGATTTCTGAATGAATTTGGTGATTCAGTTTTTAAAAGATTCATGCCCATCTATACTAAAAACTCCACCAGCCCGACTTATACCAATAGAGCATGCTAGGACAATTTTTATTTATATTAATTAATTAATTAATTAATTAATTAATTAATTAATTAATTAATTAATTAATTAATTAATTAATTAATTAATTAATTAATTAATTAATTAATTAATTAATTAATTAATTAATTAATTAATTAATTAATTAATTAATTAATTAATTAATTAATTAATTAATTAATTAATTAATTAATTAATTAATTAATTAATTAATTAATTAATTAATTAATTAATTAATTAATTAATTTCTACCCCGCCTATCTGTTCAATATGACCACTCTAGGCGGGTTCCAAACATGAAAAAATACAACATATAAAACATCCAAGTTTTTAGATGGGTCTTAAAAATACCCAGCGTAGGGGCCTCGCAAATTTCTGGGGGCAGGTTGTTCCAGAGGCGAGAATACTTGGTGGAATACAGGTTCACCATCTTCTACTGAAAATTAATATAATATCCAAATGTAACTGTGTAGAGTCTTTATTCTTGAATAAAACTGTGGCCTTTGGTTCATCTCCTTTCCTCCCTTTCTCTGTCACACTCTCATTTTCTCTCTTTCCACGCATGCATGGACACAAATTTTGTACAAAAACCTTCACTTGTACTCTCAAAGACACCAAAGATTTCCTGCTTAAGAAAGAATCCTTGAGTAAGCAACATCGATGTGATAATTTTATACTTGTCAGATTTGATGTGACTTCTCTTTACACCCCTATAACCACAGAATTATGAGATCTGTGCTTGAAAGGAATTTCTCATTAGCAGACTCTCCACTGAACTCCTTGCGTACATTATCACCATCTTAGCAACACAGTTTCATCTTTTTTAAAGGTATTTGAACAGGAAATTCTCTCTGAGAATGCAGGGAACCATCTATGGGCATTTGCCTGGCTTTCACAGAGTAGCTTAACTTAACACACACCATATGAAATCATCTGTTAGACAATCCTTTTGTGATTTCACACCTTGTGCAATAATAGGTCACTGGCTTTAAAAGGGCAGGCCTAGTGGGAAATTTTCTGTTCCCCCCTTTGATGCTTGACTATGGAGATCACACTGGCTGAAGTGGATGTGGTTGAGGTGGCGGCCCCCGTGGCTGAGGCCGTGAAGACAGACCACCACTGCTGCCGGTTTAGCTGGAGGCTAACTATTCAGCGCATCTTGAACGTGTACCTCTGTATATGCTGCGTATGGACAGTCCGTGAATATAAGAACAATGAATAAAGGACAAGGTAAGGTTTAAGGGCTTCGTATGTTTTAAGTACTGTATGATTGTGTTTTTTAAAATTAACCATAGGTTCATTCTTTTATCTTTTACCACCAGGTTCCCCCTCCCGCATGGAGATTAAATCTAGACCAACTGAGCTGATCCTAGAGCCATCAGCGGCAGAGGTCCTGAGGGCAAACCGCCGAAGGACACCATCTGTGAGACTACTGGTCCAAAGAGTTATCAATATCTATCTCTGTCTATGTTGTATCTGTACACTACACCATCATAAGGACGACTAAAAAAACTGGTAAGGTTAAGGGTTAAGGGCTTCATAATTTTAACTATAATTTTTTAATGATGTTAACTACCGGGAGATTTTGTGATGTTACAGCTTGTGCAATAATAGGTCACTGGCTATATATTGGGCAGCTCCCTGGGAGATTTTTGTCCCCTCCCCCCTGCAGCATGGACTTACTACCATTTGAACAACACCTGGTAGAGGTGACTGCAGTGACCGCAGAGGCAGCAGAGACCATGAGGGAGTGTGCCAGTTCTTTGAGAAGGGTATATAGTATCTGTGTTGCCGCTGTGTTTCCTGTTATTTATCGGGGCCAAGAAATCTTCCCATGCCCGCCACCACCCTCCTATTGTGCTACTTTCACTTTTCAACTTAAAAGTGTTTTGCTCTGTGTTTGTTGAGTTAAGTGCCATCCATGATCCCTTGCTGTGTGACTGAAATATAACTCTGGGATTCAAATAGCAATATAAGCATCAAATAGAAGCTTATATTGATTTGTGTTGGTTGAAAAACAGGACACAATATTATAT